CAGACTATGTGCCAGGCACTATGCTAAGTGCTTTACAAATATAACCTCATTTGATCTTCAAAACAACACTGGTAGGTGCCATTATTAACCTCATTTTACAGATGAGGAAACTGAGGCAAATGGGGTTAAGTGACTTGCCCAGGGTCACACAGCTAGTACATGTCTACGGCCAGTTTTGAACTTGGACCCCCCCAACTACAGGCCTGCCACTCTTATCTACTGTGCCACCTAGTGCCCCTTCCACCTAGCATCCACTGCCAAAGACTTCCACTAAAAATTCATCATCACTAAACATCCACACATCTTTGGCATAAAAAGTGACAAGATTCTCATTATGTGATATTTACCAGCTTTTCAGATTTATTTTGTTTCGCTATGATAATAATTATAATAATGCTAATATAATAACTACCAACATTTATATAGTGCCTTAAGCTTTAGAAAGTGCTTTACATTTGTCAAATTATTTAATCCTCACAACAATTTTGTGTGTTAAATGTCATTATACCCTTATTCTACAGATGAGGAATCTAAGGCTGAGAGTCTAAGTCCCTTGAGCAGTCACACAACTAGAAGCATCTGAGACCAGATTAAAACCCAAGTCTTCCATACTCCAAGGTCAACTCTCTATCTACTTTGCCACCTATCTCAATCAGGAAGGCCTTTAGAGACCATCTAGTCTAACCCATTCTGAAAAGGAATCCTTTCTATAGCATACCCAACAAGTGCAACAGATTCAAGGCAGAATCAAGAAATGGAAAACCCTCCCAGCTATTACCCAAAACTCTCAGAAAGTGTAATGGGTTCCCTATCTCCTTGCCTGAAGACCTACAGCAACAGGGAACCTATATTACAACGTGTATCCGTTGCTTCTAGTTTTTCTCTCTGGGGTAGAACAAGTCTTGAACAGCACAAGTCTAAGAACAAGTGCAGTAAGAGACAAGGCAAAGAGACTCTCAGAAATGGGATTTCAGTCCTAGTTGCTCCTTCCCCTTGCTATGTGACCTTGGGAAACTCACTGTATATCTCTCATCATTGGTTTCCTTACCTGGAAAAAAAGAGATGACTTCTCCTTCTCAAGTTTATTGCAAGGACTATTTGAAATTCAGGTATACAAGTTCTTTGGAAAGATTTAAAAAGCTGTGGCAATAAAAAGAATTATTATTACTACAGTTCTTAATCTTAGTTAATTTCTTCGTTATTTGCTATATCTTTTTGATCAGTTGAAAGAACTGGAGATGTTTAGTTTGAGAAAAGAGCAATAGGGGGAATATATCTTTCTTCAAATATTAAAGGGCTGTATGACAGAAGACCAATTAGACTTGTTCTTCTTAGCTCCCCACCCCTGGGGGATGGGAAAGCAGAACCAAGACA